TTATCTAATGGAAGCTATTTAAAAATTTTTTCTTTAAAAATTATAATAATTTTTAAAATTTTAAGTGATGCGCTTTATAATTTTAAAATTAATTGTTTACAATAATATTTATAAAAAGTAGCCATGGATTAAATATATTAGCAATAGATGCATGTATAATGATTTGAACATTCTCATAAAAGAATCTTATAGAATTTTTTATACAGACTAATAAAATATATTAAATATTGTGTTGATTTATATATTTTTATCGTATTTAAGATATCGTTTTTGAAAATTAAATAAAGCTGAAAAAATATATGAGAATTCAATTTTTAAAGATGAAAGAAGCAGTAAATTTTGACACTCAATTTTTTTTTGATAAAAAAACATTTTGAGACATTTAAATAAGAAAGAAAGAAATTTCTTTATAAAACGAAGAGAGCATAATATAAGTTATGATCTATTACACAGTGATTCTAAATGCAGCTGTGACCATACCTAATTCACGTTCTAAAACAATCCTCATTTATAAATGTTAAATGCAAAGAAATAAGTTAGATGAGAAGCACTAAATATTTCCTATTTATTTTAATTATTGGCAAAAAAAAAAAAAAAGTGTCGCGTTTAAGAGAGTGTGAGAAGGAGCGCGTGGAGCCGTTGAAGAGGATGTCGCAGGTAGAGGCGCAGTACTCCGCAATTCGTGCGCATCGTTTTCTTTATGACAAACGATGCACCGACTCACTGCCATGGCACGTGCGCACGTGACACCTTAATCCCACCCCTCTTATTATTCCCTTCTCTGACTCCCTCAACCTTTAATGGTTACTAATTAATATTAAATAAATACTCTTTTAGTACGACAATAAACTATATTAATTTTATAGAGATAGAGCATAATTTAATAATCATAATGTTACCTGCTTTGCTTGCTGTCTTTTTAGGAGGAGTAAATTATAAATTACTCCCTCTAGTTTTGCAAAATATATCAAATAGTTTCTTTTGTTTTAAAAATTAGTCAATTAATTCCTTAACTAGTATTGATTGTTGTTAATTTAATATTATTTTTTCTTATCAATATTTTTCTACTTTTTTTTATTTTTCTAGTTATAAAAAATGATTAATTTATAAATAAATTTTAAAATATAGTAACTTATTAATTAGTTATTAAAACTAAAAGAACTATTTAATTTCTTTTTAAAAGCTAAAAGGACTAACTTATAATTTGCTCTCTTTTTAAGTTACTGAATGATTTGAGCATTCTGAAAAAAAAAAAAAAAAGGTTAAATTATTTGAGCACTCTCCTTTTGGTCTTGTTTCAAGTGGCACCCCTGCTTGGCCAAAAGACAATGCTACCCAAGTTATTGACATGATTTTAGTTTTTGAGATTTTGCCTCCAATTTTTCATTTGGATTAGCAAATGACATGATTTTAATCTTACGTGTATGCAATTTATGTAACAAATCTTTTGACACAAATAAATACAAATGGCACAGTGCGAATATTATAAAATTTTCAAAACATTTATGTTTCTATTTCTATTCACGATTCAAAAATTTGTAAGATAAATCAATCTTAGTTTGGATAATAGTATTAAGTACCGGTTAACAATTAATTGAAACATAAATTAAATTAATTTTATTCACATTTTTTTTTTTTGGATAGCAAAAGATAACATTAAAAATTGAGCTAATTTATGCGTCAATTTCTCCATAAGATTTTTAGAATGCATGTTTAAGAAATATAGCTCACCTATGGCAAGGTGGAAAGCAGCAGGGCCAGTTGTGAATTTTCAAACGCCTTATCTTCGAAGGTAGGCCAAGAAGCAATTAACGAGGATGTTTTAAAAAAAAAAAAGTGGTAAAAAAGTACCCACTGTCTATTCCTTTTACGATGCGGCCGTACAGTTTTTAGTATGATTACCCCCTAAGTTCGTCCTTACAAAACTGACATTACAGCATTATCATATTGCATTAAAATATTAATCCAAATCTAATCTTCAGAATGCTTCCTATCCCTTTTGACCGCTAAAGATTCTGTTCAATGCCAACACTCGTACTTAATTAACCACTTTTTTTTTCTTTTTAATTTTCGGCAATTAATTAATGAAGGGTGAAACATTGGGTGGTGTTTGGTTACTGCTAATGCTAAGCTAGGAGAAAAATCGTTTTTTTTTTTTTTTTTTTTTTTTTTTTTTTTTGAGGAGAAAAACTAAGTTAACTAATGTAACCACCATCCAAACCAACAGGAGTTGAATATGATATTATATTATATAATCACCAAATTGGAGGAATGGAGGAAATTCTTGCACATGGATGCTTATACGCTAAATTAGTCTTTGAATTTTTTGTATTTTAACTTCTCTTAACTTTTTTTTTTGTTTTTTTTTGAAATTTAGTACATTCTTGACTTTTTCATCATTTATTTTTTAAAAATAACAATTACATAAATAGTTTTATGATGAAAATTATTTCATAAAATTTATCTAGAGCTCTCCAAAAAATTTTGAGATAATTTCGTATTTTGCTATATTTTTAAAGTTCAAATAATAAAAAAATATTTTTAATTTTGAAAAATTATAATTTTTTTTAAAAAAAGTTTTAATTTTTCTTAACGTGCATGTAAAATTTAGTATCAAAATACTAAGAATTGATTTTTTTAGAAAGAATGGATGATATTTGAAAATCATAAGATAAATTAAATTTTTAAAAAATAAATTTCAAAGAGATTAAAATATGAATTAAAAATTTAAAAATTAATTAAAATCTAAGGAAAGATTTAACTCCTTTGCAATGCTTATGTTTTATTATCCCAAGCTTGGAAACTCGTCCATCTCTAGCTCATTCTCCCTCCATAGGCCACAGCTATCTCCTCTTTATGTGTTTGCACGTAAACGTATCATGAGATGTTCGCATGTTTGAATATTTGTCAGTTTCTTTGTACTTCCATAACTATCTTCTTCACTTTGAGATTTCTTCTATAAATTTTATTTCTTTTTCTACTATGAGAGTATGTTTCTATTCAAACAAATTGAACTGAAAGTTTGAAAAGTCACTTTTTAATGATATCAGTCATATTGTTTACTGTACTTTTTTTTTTTTTTTTAACTTTTCATCAATATTAAATAAGATATTACGGTGAAATCTTTTCTTTTACCATATATAGGGATGACAATTTACCTCACCTCAACATAGCCTTGTCCAATGAGCGGGGACGGGGTGGGGATGAGATTTACCTGCTCTACCCCGTTTGCCTCATTTTTTAAATTAAAATTATAATTATACCTCATGTAAAATCTATAATTTGTGACTTTTAGGATTTATTTTCTATATAAATTATCATTTTTTTTTACTATAATTTAAAATTTGGTAGTAGAATTAGATAAAATAACATGAAAATTACAAAAAAAAAAATAATTTTTACCTCATTTACCTCGCAGGGATCCCTATCCTTGTTTGGAGTGAGGATGGTATGAAAAATTTTACCCCGTTCGGAACACGGGGTGAGCCCCATCCCCATCTCAGCCACATTGTCATCCCTAACTATATATGATCATTTAGTCAAATCTAATTATTGAAAATAAAATATGACCACTAACATATTAAGAGCGATGATAAATGCAGTATATAAATAAATTTGTCAATAATTAGTATGGAATGACATTAATAGTATATGATTGTTATCTACAACATCTATACATTAGTTCTATGATGCATTTGATCAGGTATTTTAAGTTTTAGTAGATGTTAAAAACAGATTCTTCTCTATCGGGTGTATGATCAATCTATGCGTGCATATATATATAATCTTTTACCACGTTTAATTTGAGAAGATCAAATCTTTTTCATTAGTGGATTGACAATTTTGTAGGTACAAATTAAATTCAGTCCGATGGTACCAATTCAACATTGCACAACAAAGCCAATGGCAACATCCTGACTTAAATTCCTCTCATCTCATTAAGGTGTGTCATAAAAGATGTGAAATACTAAAAACACAGTCACCAAAAGAAAGATATGAGTCGTTGAGTTGCTCTCTCAATACTGTATCAAGGTTGTTGTTTCTTTTTTTTTTTTTTTTTTTTTAAGGTAAACCTAATCTTCGTCAGACACCACATTTTCAAATTAATGTACATTGTGCAAGCTATAGATTCATCTCATTCTAAATACTGTTCACTATACATTGGATTTGGGTCTACCTGTCCCTTCTCCATTTTTTAACGTAATCCTTGCTGACCCTTTCCATCCAAACAAGGTCTTTACAAAAAGCAACAAGAGCAAATAGTAGCTGGAAAACCAAGTCAAGAACAACCAAACCTAACCTAATTACCAACAGCTGAGATTTCCAGCAAACAAAAAGGATAGAATAGCGATTTCTCCCTACAAAAGATAAATCGAAACAACAAATTTCCACCTCTCCTTCTCCATTCTTGGCTAGCGACAGAGAAAGAGAGATAACAGTTGTCCCCACCCCCTCTTTTCATGGTTTTAAGTCCTGACGCCAGAAGAAAACAAATTAAGAAGAAAAGAAAAAAACATCTCCTTCTCTCTCTTTACCTTCGGCCCCTTTTTAACCCCAGCTCTCGTTGATCAAGACCCCCAACCTCTATTAGTATAGGGACAAACAAAAGGTAGTGTGCACACATATTGAGAGAGGAGAGACACGCATCAAGAAAAGAAAAACAAAAGGAAAAGGGTCCATTAACCTTTGTGGTGCAGAAGCTTTTCTTGAAGAAAATTTACTGAAGAGAAAATAAAAATAAGGAAGAAAAAACAAGATATAAATAAGCAAGTAAGTGCAAAGTAAGGTTGGTGCAAGAAGAAGTGGTGGCAGTTTTTTCAAGAAGTGAAGATAGAAAACAACGAAAGAAACACTCAAAAGGGTTTTTGTTTCAAAGCAAACTGTGAAGTGTGAAGTGAAAGAGCTTAAAAAAAAAAAGGAAAAAAAAAAAAGGGACTTGCACACATCTATATAGAGATAGAGAGAGGGACTATTAGAGAGGGAAAGAGAAAGAGAAAGAGATGGTGGGCTCAGGAGGAGCAGATAGGAGCAAAGAAGCTGTTGGGATGATGGCCCTTCATGAGGCCCTCAGAAGCGTCTGTCTCAATTCAGACTGGACTTACTCTGTCTTCTGGACTATTCGCCCTCGCCCGTATATATCTTTCTTTTTCTGTATTAAAGTTTCAAACTTTCTATCTCTATAGTACTGTTCGTTCTATCTATTTTACTGAAAACTCTTTGTCTTTCAACTGTTTCCTAAATGACTTGTCTGTCTTTTTTTTTTTGCAGAAGAGTTAGAGGTGGTAATGGTTGTAAGGTTGGAGATGATAATGGAAGCTTGTGAGTTTTCACTTCGTTGTTGTTTATTTTGTTTTTTATTCTCTTTTTTGTTACTAAGAAAACAAAGAAAATGGGGAAGATAGTGGATTCTTATTCTAATAAGTTGTGGTTCTTTTGTATTTTCTCAAGTGTATGACAAAGTTCCCTCAAGTTACGGTGTTGCTACTTCAATTTCTTTTGTTTCACTGTGTTTTCTTAGTAACCAAACAGAGCATTACTCTTTTCCTTCTTGAAGCAGAGTTAAAAACTGGGTTTAAAAAAAAAAAAAACACAGCACTTACTGTTGACTTGTGTATTCAAATAGTCCTTTTAATCAAATATGTAAATGGTAATTACTTACAATTGGGTTTGATTTATAGTAATCACATGTTTAATCAATGTGCAAGTAAGTTAATTATTGGCCTTTTAATATGAATTAAATTCTTGACGAATTGACTTGTGAAATTTTGTAAAGGATGTTGATGTGGGAAGATGGGTTTTGCCGAGGAAGAGTTGGAGATTGTTTGGAAGAAATTGATAGAGAGGATCCTGTCAGGAAATCATTCAGCAAAATGTCCATTCAGTTATATAATTATGGAGAAGGGTGGGTGCTGGGTAGGTGTTATTATTTTTGGTTTAGATTCTCTCTCTCTCTCTCTCTCTCTCTCTGAATGAAAGAAAGTCTAGTGTCTAGTGAAGTGGTTATCAGAGTGCAAAAATTAGAAAATGATAAACAGATGTTGCTCATGTGTTTTGATTGGTTTCCTTTGAGCAGGTTAATGGGAAAGGTTGCTTCAGATAAGTGTCATAAATGGGTCTTCAAAGAACCTACTGAATGTGAACCAAATATTTCCAACTACTGGCAGAGTTCTTTTGATGCTGTATGCGACAATACTCATAAATCTATTTCTTTTTTTGTTTGTACCTGTAAGAAGTTTGCACAAAAACTGGTGTTGGGAATTTAATGTGCCCCATTATTAGTTAAGTTAGATGGCACCATATTTAAGATTGACGGTAACCTTCCCTTTTGAATGTCTCGTTTGCAGCTTCCTCCTGAATGGACAGATCAATTCGAGTCTGGTATTCAGGTCAGCACCATAATAGTTATTTTGTACAGTGATTAGCCTCATATTGTTTCTTTTTCTTTCTTTTCCAATTAACTTTTCCCTTCTCCAGTACTTAGATTTGTTCCACGTGTATTTATGTTGACCAGACTATTGCTGTCATACAAGCTGGCCATGGCCTTCTACAACTGGGCTCCTGCAAGATTGTGAGTTCTAATATTTTTCTACCTGTCATTTAATTTCTTATTTTTTTTTCCAAGAAAAAAAGTAATTCTCCTTAAAAACCATTCTCAATTAGTTCCTCCCCCAACCCCCAAAACATTTGCACAATATTTACTTATGGTAAAATTTGATCTCATGAGGGCGTCATTCGATATTTTCAGATACCTGAAGACCTTCATTTTGTACTAAGAATGAGGCATACATTTGAATCTCTTGCCTACCAATCTGGTTTCTACCTCTCCCAACTCTTTTCATCAACCAGAAACACTTCTTCCTCCTCATTACCTACTAAGCAATCTGCAATTCCAACCCGCCCATCACCACCCGTTTTCAACTGGGGTCAGCGACCACTTTCATCTGCAGCTTCTTTGCTTTCTTCACCGACTTTTCAAAATCCTGCAGCTAGACTTGGATTTCCACAAGCCAAAGATGAGCCCCATATGTTTATCCTTCCCCATTCATCTGAAACCCGAATGGAAGAGATGATGGGAGAACATGAAAATGACATCAAATGGCCTAATGGGCTGTCCTTCTTCAATGCTCTCACGGGAAGGGCAGATGATGCCAAGCTTTTGTTTAACCCTGAGAGCTTAGGAAACAAAGGAGACCAAAATCACCACCCTCTTATCCTTGAAGGGAAGAGTCCCAATCAAAATTTAGATGCTTTAAACATGAACAATGCTGGTGGTATGAATCCCAACGAGTTTTTGAGCTTAGATAGCCATCCTGATAGCGCAAGGAAAATGGAAAACAAGTTCAAAAGGAGCTTTACCTTGCCTGCAAGAATGACTTCATCATCTTCTTCGACTTCGGTTGATCACCATCAGCACCAAGCTGTGGAGTACCGGAATCCAGAAGGAGGGGTGTATTCAGACGTCATGGAGACTTTCTTGGAGTGAAATCTGCAAGGCTTGTATTAGATGGAGAAAGGATGGGAACTTGTATCTAGGAAAAAAAAAAAAACTTTTATGCTCCTGGGATTCTAGTGTTTGTTTTATTATGCTCTTTTAGTATTTGTGTTTCTTTCCTTAATTCAAGGATCTTCCTAATCATTTGTTGTAGTTGATCGTAACACAAGTTTTCTTTTCAAACTTGCTCTAGAAATAGAGGAAGTTAGTAGTAAGATTCTGCCACTTGCTTGGTATGCTACTATGCTATGCCGAGGCCAAAAGCGAAGTGATGAATAGGTTTCCCTATCAGCTTAACCAAATCCGAGGATAGGTTTGGACTGCATCAGCTTGGCTAGTTATCCGACTTTTTTGGGGGTACGGAAGACCAAGGTTCTGCTGGTTTTGGGTCCTCGGGACTTTAGGAGACAGGCTTATGTTTAACTGAAATAGTAGCAGGAAGGCAAGCAGAGTTGAAGGCCATTGGTCACAATTAAGGAATGAGGACACGAACATTCGTCTATGTTTGATGCATGCAACAAAATATAGAGATAATAATAATAAATAAGTAAATAACAAAAACAGATGTCAGCTGATAGTGGAGTTTCTTATCGTAATTGTGCTTGTGCATTATTAATGTTTAGTCTAGCTCTAATATGTAATTATCTTTTTTCTTTGGAGAAACTAGAAGATTTAATTTAGGATTTAAAACTCAACTCTAAAAAAAGTGACAACTACTTTAGAATCAAACATGATTGTGGATTCGCTCATAAATCCAAACACAATAAGTATATGATTTATCTAAAAAATCTAAGAATCAGTCTTTATCTAGGAAAAATATCATTTAGGGCTAACATTGATGCCCAAATCAAACAAGAAAACAAGCATCCTAAACATAATAGGATTTTGAATCCTTGATAAAAACTAGAGAAGAAAAACTCTAAGCTAAAAGTTTCTAGAATCTTTTATAATAATTCGATCCCAAAATTTTCCTAGTCCAAAATAGTAGAGTGCAAATTGATCGTGTCTTGCCAAGCAATTTTTTTGAGTATCGATCGAGCCAACTATCAAGTTTTTATCAGACAAATTTTGTATACGTTTCTATAGTTTAAAATATTTATTTCAAACATCAACAATTCCCTCCATATTGTCTTTCAAACTGTTTATAATCCTTGCGCCTTCATAGTTATTTGATTTAACAGAAAGAGAGGAACAATCAACTTTGCAAACCTGCTCGAATTTCAAACTCTTCTTCTCTCCTGCAACTGCAATCCCTCTTTGAAACTCTAGAAATCAATGTTCCCATTTCGCCTTTAAAAAACCAATTTCAAGAAGTCTTCTTCTTCTTGTAAAGACATCTCACCCTGACAAGGGTTTGAAGTAATAGTGCTTACAAAGCTCGATGTTTGCTTTAATATCTTTAAAGAAAAGGAAGGCCGTTACAAAAAAGCACCAGTCTTGCAAACCATTAATACCATTAACCAAAGCCTCAGACCATTAATGATCACAAAAGAAAATCTGGATTTAAGCTTCTGGACATAATTTGATGGATTGATAGAATCGTGGCTTGGATATGATGTCAAATTCGTCAAATGGATGAAAAGAATATATTCGAAATGTGCCGATGTTTTGAAGAGTACTACTGGCCGCTTGTATGATGTTAATCATGTTGTATGAACAATCGTTCAATCAAACCGTGCCTTGTCAGTAGCAGCCTCTGTATAACTTCATGGATCCACTTTGAAGAAAGAAATAAGCATATTGAAATACATTCGGACTCATAAAAAATGATATTTAAAGTGATAAGAAGATTTTTATATTCGCTCAATTTTTTTTTTAATCTTCTCTCTTTTGTTTCTTTCTTATTTTTTGTGTCTATATCTTTATTCAAAATAAATCCATAAAATAATTATTATAAATGTCATTAATTACTCTTTTTGTATTATAAAATTTCTCTACAATGCATTCTTTAACACAGAATTCAAAACTAAGTTGGAGGTAGATGAGCATGACCACGTTGCCTTCTTGCAAGTGCATCATATGCCTCAGCATAAAGTCCCTAAGGATTTAACCAAAATCTCGGTCCTCATAGCCGGAGGTGAGTGTCTTACTGGTAATTTTAATGTGTTGGGGCCGAAATATTCAGACTTATTTATCATATTTTATTTTTTTGTTTTAAATTGTTTTTAATTCATTTTTATTGGATGTGGATTGCTATTTTTGTTTAGGTCTTTGTTAAGTTTGGATTAGAATTTTAATTTAATTAAGTCCAATTAAACTAGAATTTTTAGAAGTAGTATTTAAACAAACTTTATGTATGTTTTTTAGAGAGTTTTTGAATCTTGAAAAATATACAAAGAATTTTCTACCAAACCGAGAGCGATAACTTTATCCTTGACACTGATTGTCCAAAGTGGTGATCACTAGCATTCAAGAATCCAAAGTGGTGGTATTTGTATATTTGAGTTTTTGGTGTACATATCCTGTGAATTTCACTTTCTCTACCAGCAAGTCTTGATTTGCTTATCTTTTGAATTGAAGCTTGAATTGAATTGACTGTATTTTGAAAGTTTCGGCTAATTCTAAATTTATTCAAGTTAGAATTTACCCTTTGATTTTATGCTTGGAAGTTGTGGCATATATCCCTGGATTTTCTGATTGACTTGCAAAAACCTTCATTTTTCGTAGATATACAAGAAAACAATAGATGCTCAACTGAGATCTAGACTCCCTATATATTTTTCTGCATGTCAATTTGGGATTTATCAAGCCATACCATTCCCCTAATTAGTCTACATACCGGATGCAGTCAAGAGCATATTCATTTGCTTAACATCTCTTAAAGGAAGTAACAGACATTACAAAGCTGAATGAATTCCTGATCTTGTTTGATGCTTTATTTCCATGTTCTTTCATTTCATCTTTGATCCAAGCTGTCAATAAGTCGAAGTCTGCAGCTTCCTTCTCCTTGACAATATTCTCCATTTTGGTTTTCCTTTCGTTTAAAACTTGCTCACGCCTTGTTGAGATGTATTAATTTGTTCATGAATTGATCAAATGTCTGCAATGATCTACTTAGTTTCTTCTCTTCTCCGATTTGAAGCCATTTTTTAAACTTCCAGTATAATTCGGGCACATCGTAGAATACTGTTTCCTCGATGACATCAAAAGCTTTTGCATAGGGAACCTCAGGAAATTCAATGGTGAGACATTTTGGATCGAACACAAAAACAGACACATTATCATACATGGATCGATGAATCACATCTTGTATTTCTATTATCTCAGATATTTGGTTTCTGGAGACATGATCAAGGATGGGAAATAGGCCTTGTATCAACTTTTGGTGGATGGTCTTCTCTACCAATACTTTGTACCTGTAGTTGTTCTTCATGAATAATTGAATCATTTTCCTTTGAACTCTCCATGAACCCGAATCAGAATCGAGCTTTCCATCTCCTAGAGGATAAAAAAATCTTCTTGTACTCAGGTCCCTTTGGATAGTTTGCGAAGTTGTCGCTCAAGATGTGGTGCACATTCATAGGATCACTAGTGAACACAAAGTCCATGTTGGCGAACCAAGGACCCTTGAACTCCGGAGTTCCTCCATGATTTTTCATGTTTTTGCGTGGCAAGCTCATTCATTTATAAGGAGCCGATGTAGCATCCCACCAATTGGCAAGTTAATTGCCCGATCTGCGTCTGGCTTCCTATTTTGATACCAACCACGAAGGAAGAGAAAACAAACAAGTACTACGTACTGCAATTACAAGTATCTCAAATATTTCCTTTGATATTGTGGATTTGGATTTTTTTTTTGCCAACTTTTATCCCCTAAAGGCTGCGTTTTATAGTACGATGCGGAGAGTATAGTCTTGAGATCTTCTGGAAGAGACATAGTTGATGTGCAACGTTCCCTCAAAATACATTTATCATTAAATAAAATAAAAAAGCAAAAGAAATTATAATCAAAATAAAATTAAGTTATACCCTTTTATAGATTGTAGTGTTTTTGACACGGATCCATGTAAGAGAGTTCTTATATATATATATATATTGGCATCTTGCTTTTTGTACCTTTAATTTTTGTTTTACTGTTAACTTATTTTATAAAATTAATAATGTTTTGTTTATTATTGATATAGGAAATTAATATATATTTTTTTATGTTTGTGACTTTTTTTTTTTTTTCAGTTTTCCAGTTTCATATGGTGACAAAATCTCCATAAATAGTTTTTATTTTCCTTTCTTTTTTCTTGGAATTTCATATATATATTTTTTCTAAATATTAAAACATGCACATAAATTCTCAAAACTTTATCAATATTTCAATTCTTTTTTGTCTTTACTGTTCTTTATTTTCCTCCAAGTTTCATACTTTTTTTTTTTTCAAGATATTAGAACCTACATACAAATTCTCAAAAAAACTTCATTAAAGTTTTAACCTAGCTACATGCATATAGAATTACTTCATGGACTCATCCCGAGGAGAGAGATAGACATATAAAATTACATCCGAATTCATTAAAAGTGATAAAAAATTTCTACATTCGCTCAATTTTTTTGATTTTTTTTCTTCTGTTTTATTATTATTATTATTATGCTTATCTCTATATTCAAAATAGATAAATGAAATAACCAATACATATGCCATATGGTATAGGAATCTATCAAATCCTGGGTATTATAAAATTTCTCACGCACACAAGGTATAAGGAATCCATCATGCTTTGTATTTTATTGTTTCTTTACATGCGTCATATTAATATTATTAGTTGATTTTTGGATCATTGCAAACGTGGCTATTTAATTATCTTTTATTAATAATACTTAATAGCATTTTTTATGTCTAAAATAGGGTTTACGTATGCAATATTTTATTAAACATGGAGGAGGAGGGGGGGGGGGGGGAGGTTATATCATATCTTCAAATTTTATAACGGTCTTCATAATTTCATTATACCTAAATGGATTATTGTGATTTATTTTATTTTCTAATAAACCATTTTGGATAAAGTTGGAAATATAACTTGTAAATCGTAGGAGTTAAAAAACATTGAATTGAGAGGAAATTAAGTTTAAAGGGGATATAGAGAGGTTTGCATTCTGTTTACGTCGAAGGTACTAACTAACTTGGAGAGGTTATTTATTTTGTCTGATGTTGATTCACCTTTTTGAAGCGGAAAAAGTTTCCTCGTCATACAAAAACTGCTTCAGACTGTTCTGTATTCTTTTTATTCGGCACAATAATTTTTTTTGCGATGATCTTATCATCAGAGTATGTTGGATTACTCCCTCTACCTAAGTTATCTTGGGTCATCAATCCTTTCGCTCCCTTTCTTTTTTGAATGAACTGGGCTTGATATGGCTCTAAATTCTAGACATTTTAGCTTGCTCAACAGGACAGAGGACTGGGGTTAGATGGAAATATGTGATTTATTGACCCAAATTTATAAACTTCGTCAATTATAGATTAGTAATTGGTTCAGACAAAGTTTGTGTCCTTGTAGTACACCATCCCTACTCGGCTACTCCCCTTGGAAAAGAAGAAGTCTCTTGGCTTCGTGACGGGATGAAATTCAAAAACATTATTTTCACAAGTAAGTTTATGCACGGTAAGTTATGGTTTTGTTATTATTTTTTTATATTAACAAGACATTAGACATTTTATATCTCTACAAATAACTATATAACCAACACAAATGAGAGGAAGTCATATACCATTGCCATTCGGCAGTTGATGATATGAACTAGTAAGGTTCTGAATGGTGCAGGCAGATCAAATTTTAAGTGATATGGGGTGATGCTTCTTCCACAATGAGAGAAGAAGCCTCGATCTGCATTTGTTAAAGGCCTTTTGAGCCACACTGATCACAGGTTGTGCATGCAGTACTGATCTAGAGGTGTTCAATTCTATTTGATACGTTAGATATCCGGTTTCATCTTATTAGATTGAATCGAAATTTTATCGAGTTTTGACTAAGATTAAGTCGAAAATAGGTAAAATCCCACTCGGTTTGATCGGAGCCAAATGCCACAAAGGGTAAGGATTTCACTTGTCTCATAATGTGACCCGATTTTTTAAAATTTTTTCCTTTTCCTGTGGAGTTGTAATTTATTTTTTTAATATAATATATGAATTTTAATTTTATAATTCATTGAGAATTTTTCACTATTATTCATAGATTTAAAGTTTATATTTTATTTTATGATTTATAGCCAAAGGCATAGTTTATGTTTTAAACTTAGATTTTATTTTTTTATAAAACTAAATTAACAAAAATCGGAATCCAATAGGGTTTCCCTCTAATTGAAAAAACTACTCACTCGATCCAATCCGATCGATCGAATCGAAATTAAAGACAAATGATATATTTGTACGTTTTAGATCGAAAACAGATGGAACAAAACCTAGTTCCAACTCGACTTATTGCAAGCTTTACTGAACTATAGAGTCAACAGAGTTAAAGGATAGAGCTCATAATAGACACACTAACCTTATCTTTATTTTGAAAACTCATATATAAATGACCAACAGCCAACAGGTGCTGTGGAATTCAGGGAAGGCACTAGATCGGCCCTACCTAAAAGAAGAATTTAATGTCTTAAGCTATCAATTGAATAATTGATTCTTAAAGGATGTGCCTTTAAGAAGAAGATGGGAATAGAAATGAGCCCTTATTAATTAATTAACCACGACATTCTACGATCTCTGTATTTAATTTTTAAATAATTAGTTATAATTGGTTTTTAGTAATACTAAGCTTGGGCTCATTATTTAAAGTATTGTAAGATTGATTTAGCTTAGAAAATAATGAACCTAATTTCGATCGATACAAATGCTATCCCAATATATATATATATATATCCCCATCCACATCTAATTTGGTAAATTAACATGATGGATGCATCACATCACATATATATAATGTACACTGCACTTCACCACATGCGTTAAGATATTTGCAATAATGGAAGATTCAATGGCATGCTTTTGATTTTACAGAAAACACACCTATCAATCTCTTTTCCACAAAGTGTGAGCTGTTAAAGCAGTTGGGAACTTGAGATGGTTGCAATCCTTTGCAAAGACTAGAGCAATAAATTGCAATGATCATTTGGAAGTTAACAAACAATAGAAAGATCAATGGACAAACCAATAATAATGTCTTCTTGGTTACGATCTCTAATGCATTCTCTTTAAGAGAACAAAGTAGGTACATACAGTACTATTGTTAACAAGAAATTCACTCAAGTGTCAACCAAATCATGTGCAAAATGAACATCCCCTTGAGGCAAAAAAAAAAAAAAAAAAAAAAGAAGCCCAATATTCGTATCAATCATAACTTGATATTTCCCTGCAACATATCATCCTTTGAGGATGGTTCCATGGCATGGCATTCTCTACATGCCACCAAAAATGACCTGAAAAATCTCCTCCAAAGCCCAGACCTCTGCCTTTTCCCTCTCTTAACTTGTTTCTTGTTGCTCAACCCTTCTTTAATCAAAATCCCACCACTTTTTCTTCGTGAATCCTCACGTTTCAAAGCTGCAGTTGGCACAGGCATGATATGTTGCCACCTTTGAGAAGATCCATATAACTGTGCCATAACGGCTTTACTAGCCAAAGGTGTTTTGGCACTAGTGATATTATTGTGCAATCTTCGCCTCTCTGAATTGTCACTTGAGCTTGTTCTTGCACTGCTAACACTGCTTCTACTACTATTAGTACTATTGCTTCTTGATGACATGAGGGAATCCTTGCTGCCGACACTGCTTGCTCTGCTAGTTTCTCGGTAAATGTTATCAATAAGTAGCATAGTTGTTGGTTGTTGTTGAAGTACAGGAAAGGAATGAGGCAATAGGCGGCCATTGAAGAAAAGATGATCAGCTGGTGAGTTCTTGTTTGGATCACAAGAGGGGGAATCTGGCGTTAAACAACCGAATTCAAAATCAGACTCTTGATCTAAAGTACTTGGAGTGCTAGGAAAGGAGAAGATGTATTCTCTAGAGCTGGTCTTTTGGTGGTGATTTTCTTCCATATGGGACTGCTTGTGGGAGTTTGTGTGAGGTTGTACTTGTCCAAAGGGCACTCAGTATATATAATGTGGAATTGTCTATCATATTAAATAATAATAATAATGAAGAGACATAGATGGGTATGTGCTATGGATCAAACAAGAGAAGATTTTGATAATTAATTAGCTTGGTGGACTAAATCATGAGTTGATTACTTGCCAACTCAACCTTAAATTAACCTATATATGGTGGGGTTAGAATAATTTTGTTAGTGTGGGATGTGTCTTAGACAAGTGCATTACATGATTGGGATAAGATAATTTAGAGGCTCCCTTTGACGTAAAATACATCTAATTCACATCAATGACATTAAGACTAACCAAATAGTTCTTATATGCATACATTCGTAAGTGATTTATTAGTGATTAATGGTGTGGAGGATACTAGAAAGTATAAACGCCTCCACATGTTTTGATTAGTTGATCAAGTTTATGGAAGTATATTACTTGAAAATAACTAATCCCTATGCTTGCTTAGTTCGATGGATGTTTTTCCCTTTAGTCTTTATCTACTTGCCTTTGTTTTTCTTCAAGGAACACAGCTTCCCAAATATACTCTTTCATATAAAGCAGGGAAGAACTTTATCAGAGATGGAGAAGAGAAAAAGAGTGGTTGGTCAAGCAACACAAGTACTAATAACTTATTCCCTTATGGTTGGGCTTTAACTAGGCCATGCTATGATGGGATCAACAAAGGGTTTCTTAGTGTAGGTGGAAGCTAAGGCTCTGGGTGGACCAAACTTGATGATGGAAATTAATCTGCAAAAAGAGTAGTATTAACTAGTAATTAACTCCTTCGATTTTTAGTATTACTTTTGGTCACTCTCCTCAAAATGAGGACAAAGCTGCTTTCAAGAAAAATCGTTTGTCTCCCATTTGGGTTTCTATGGAAACCTTTTGGGCCCATTGCAGCTCATCATGTCATAGGGACCATCGGTCAGCTAGATTTCCATCCCCACCAAGCAACTTTGTTTCTACGTAAACTTCCTTGGTTGATACTCTAATCATGTCATGAGGTACCTCTACCACTCTATAATATTTCAGAGTTGAATAGGATGAGTTTGACTCGTGAAATCCCATGATAGTTTGGTTGGGCTTCGCTTGCGGTCTAAACTGAAACTGAATTAACCCTTCTCAAGAAACAGAAAGTTCGTAGCATGACCTAACAACATTCTTACAAACCATGTATTGTTTCAACTATAATTGTCTTCCTCGTAAAAGTACATACAGCTTTGCCGTCCCATCAGTTGTCAGTTGTTTATGGGCGGATTAAGTGTTGTATCCATGGTAAATTGGGCTGCAGATAGCATTAGAAGAAATCATCTGGGCCCATGGGCCATAGCGTTGATTTGAGCTTGGTTTGGACGGACGTCTGAGCGAAAAGTCAGTCACAAATCACAATACACACTTCATTTCTACTTGGGCTTAACATTTTATGTACCTCCTAAAGAAAGAAAAGCCCATATTGGTCTGGTCCTTGTTCGTTTTAATATGAGCTTTAGAAGTTATAGCCCATGGCCCCAATCGTAAACCCCTAGAAATTTAACCAAGAAAACAACAGCATAATTCCCCAAAATAAATAAATAAATAAAAATCTTGAAGTACTACCGGTAAGCCTGCACTAAATTATAAATTAATCATTCTATTTTTAAAAATTAATTAATTAGTTATTTTTGTTTCAAAAACTAATTAAATAGTTTTTTTTTCTTCACAGAACACATTTATTTTAATATTATTTTACTTCTAAAAATATTATTTTTTTCATCAATTTTTCTATATTATTTATTTTTTTTTAAAGTAAAAAAATAAAAACTAGAAGAACTCATTTATAATCTACTCATGTAGGCTGTTATATACTTGTATCATTCTCTATATATATATAAATAACAAAAGGTTGACTGACTAGTCAATGAAACAACAACTACGTACTCCCATCATTTTCAACACGGCAATAATTCATCTGCATGCGCCAGAAATAAAAGGGGGAAAAAAAAACTCTATCCTACCTTAAAAACCTGCCACGTCATCACCTTAAAACCACTTATCCAGACAGTCATATATGATTGAGTTACTAGAAATCTCTGGGGGTACTTTAATATATATATATATATATATATATATATCCTCGTATTAATTTTTACAATGAGACTAATTCAATCATTTTTTAGATTAATTTAATGTTAAAATATATTTAATCTTTAATCGATCACTAAATTCCTTATTAGACCGAACGGATCAAACCCCGATACCACTAAAATATAATTATAACTAGTTATCCGTAAGTCGTAAGAATTAAACCTTAGTCTTGATCAAATCAAAACAACTTTTTTACCACTAAACTACATCTCTTAGTAGTAACAAGCCCTTCTTCTTATGGCAAATTTGAAAATCTCACGAAAAGGGCATTACATTCATAATTTATTGTGTTTTTTGTTTTTAAATTTTTATTCGATTAATAGTATATTTGTGTCTCTATCCCTACAATCTCTTAATATAATCTCTTTTTTTAAATGTGACCATTTTAATTATTTTTCAGCGAATTTTTTGAGGTGACAAAAATTTAACACAAATAATGCATATTAGAAAAAGTTATCGAGTGGTAAAAAAGTTAAAAAAATTAATAGACAATAAAATGAAAAAAAAGTAATGTTTAGGTATAACAACAAAATAGAAAGAAAATTAAAGAAATAACTATTTTTCAAAAAACAAACATGAATTAAGAGATCGAAATTCAAACCCCAAGCAATAATAGCTTTCTATTTTAATTCAAAATCGAATTCAAATCTTAAAATCAAATGATAAGCAAAAAGATTTCTTGAATTAGGTCCCTATATTGCAATAATCCTAAGCTTTAATTTATTTTTTTTATGCTTTTGTTAATTGATATAGACGTTCTGAATCAACAAATTGTTGATTATCCAAACTTCAAGCTTGTGATTGTTGATGATGGTGGTAAGGTATGAGTATTTCTTTTTGAGATTTTGTTTTGATTAAATTTGTAGTGATTTTTTAAATATTTTTGAAGCTTCTTGATTTGAGTTTGATATTTTCCATTAGAAACCATGGGTTTCGGTATATTGCTTCTAGGTATTCTATAAATGTAAAGATGATATTTATTTATGAAAAGAGTATTTGGAGTTTTGATTTTTAGTATTTGATCATTTGAAAAATACGGAGAAAAAATAAATATTTACTTTTGGCATATGTTGTTGACGATGAAGAACTATACGAGGGGGAAGAGGCCAAGATCTTTGATTGAGTAAATGAATAATCTAATATTGCTCTTGGCATGTTGTTATAGCGACTTTACTAGTTGTTTATCCGTGCTACACTACAATTGGATAGAACAAAATCATTTTAAAAAAATTATAATTTTTTAATTAAATTTTTATATTTAATTTTTTTTATTGTTTTCATAAAATTTCTACTTAAGAAAATATGACTCACTCTTATTTGTGCATTGATTCTTAATGAAAATTTTATAATAATTTAAATTAAAATATTAATACAAAATTAATTATATATATATATATATATATATATTTCTCATAAGATTGTATCTAAAAAATAAAGAGTTTAATACACTCGAGCCCCTATACTTTAACGCAATTATCATCACAATCCTCGTACCCGGATATAGCCTATAACTAATTTTATACTATCGAAGTTGGTGTAAAATAACCCTCTCGTTATGTTTTTATATTAGTTGATCAACAAATGACTAATACAATGTCGACACTCGTCATTTTGAGGGTAAAAACATATTTTTTTTAAGTTAAAATCATTTAAAATTGAAAAAAAAAAGATTAGTCTTAACCATGGTTTACTATCTCTCGGTTTGTTGAACCTAGCAAAAAAATAATTGACCAAAATTAAACAATTATCCTAAAAAACAACTAATTTTTTTTCATCTTCTTTGTAATTGAGTGTCCGTCCATCTTCTTCATCTAGGGTATACTCGGTGGTCTTTCAATTTTCCCAATCATCTATGTGTTCTTTCCTATCCGATGAGTGCATAATTAACATGATTTTTATGCTTTATTATATTGAACTTTCTAGTAATTATTGTACAATATTATGTTGTTTAAGAACAAGATTATGGTTTCAAGTTTTGTAAGAAAATGATGAATCGGAGCAAGGAAACCCAAAACCTAAGGAGGAAAGAGAGAAATTTTAAAGAGGCTTAAAGGAGTCATACGACCGTGTGAAATAACAAAGAAAATAGCTATTAACCGTGTGACTTAAAGAAGGAAATCATGTGGAGTCTTAACCACAGCAAGTCACATTGATAAAAGCATTCCACACGGCTAGAGGAAGCATTCCATATGGTCGTGTGGGTGATTGAACCTAGCAAAACTCAAGAAAAGAAGAAGATCGCATGAGTAGTTGGCTTTACACACGGTTTGTAGTGTAAAGTCACACGTCCATGTCTCTAAGGCAAAGAAGGTATACATAAATATAAGAAATTCAACATGATTTGTAGAAGAAATCTACATGGGAAAAAGCCCGGCAATACGGAATGAAGAACAAAGTTACACGATCGTGTGCCCTAGTTAGCAAGTTGTGTAACACTTAATTTTTCAAGGGTCCAAACTATATGATATCAAGCAACAAACCATATGACTTTAAGTATCAATTCATGTGGCTAAGGGATGTTGACACATACGTGATGTAACCATAGTTATAGGTATATATAGCAAAGCTAGGGTATTATTTGGGCTCTCTCTCTCTCTCTTTTTTTAAAACTTTTTTACAGTTGCCATTAATAGAAATTCTATCTATAATACATTATAAACAACTAAACTCTATTCTTGGTTAAATCAAGTTGAAGATTTTAGTTAATCACAATGAGATTACCGATTTTATTTCTAAACTTATCTCTATTAGGTATTTTGTGTTTTTCTCGTAGAATTGATTCATAGTTATATGATTAAATTAATTAAAGTGCATGGTAATTATTTATT